GATTGGTTCTTTTTAGTTTACTGGCAGTCATGGGAGCTCCTATCAGATTGGTCTATTTCCAATCCCAGCTATTTGATTTGTGCCTTCAAATACCCCAGTGTGCCCTACCTGACCTATACTGAGGTTGGGCTTTTTCACTAAAACTGCACCAGGGTGCCCAACTTGGCCTATACTGTGGTTGGGCTTCACAACTAAACACCAATAGCAGTGAAGGAGTTTTGGGGGGGCAGCTCCTATCTCAGCTCTTTGGTGCTGGGCCAATCAAATTGGTCCATTTTGAATGCCATGTTCAATTAGAATGTTCCATGCTGGTCCACTTTTATTCTCACCTTGGTTGTTTCAAAACTGAACACCAGGAGCTCCTGTGGCACTGGTGCAAGCTCAAACCTAATTGGTGCCCATAGGAGCTCTGATCATATTGGTCAATTCTCAATCCATTTTTAATCCCATTTCATGGACTGCATGGATAAGGGATTCTTTGAAGTAAATATAGTTTTCTATGAAAATAGCAGTAGTTTGTAACTCAAACACACAGTACTTTATGTAGAGACATACCTTTTTAGTACATATAAGTGTTATATGTGTACTTCCTATTTTGTCACATAGAATACTAAAATGGGGCCTCCCCGGTGGCGCAGCGGTTGAGCGCTGGGTTGCGAAGCTGCCCGTGACCTCTGCAGCGCCGGTTCGATCCCCGGCTGCTCCCCGGCCACCGGAGGAGGGTCCCACATGGCGCGCAGACCTCTCCTGCCGCCCGCTGCTCCCCTCAGCAGTGTGCTTCGGTCCTTCTGCCTGCTCTGCTCCCCGCTCTGGCTCTGGTGAATTCTCTCGCCCTCTCGCGCTTCTGACTGTACCCAGTGCATGTATAAAACAAACAAACAAAGTAAAATAAAATAAAATAAAAGCATGCCTCTATAAAAAAAAAAATAGAATACTAAAATGATTGTACTCAAGGATTAAGATTTAATGAAATGACTTTTTTGCTTCATCAAAGGCATACTTAATTAAAACTTAAAAATTTTGCTTTATAATTATTTTTTAAAGATTTATGTATTTATGCATCAATTAATTAGGGTATAGGCCAGAGGTGCAGGGGAGTGAGAGGATTCACCAGAGACAGAGCAGGGAACAGAACAGGCAGATTGACTGAAATACATGCTGAGGGGAGCAGTGGGCGAGACAGGATATGTCTGTTGGGCCAGATGGGTAGCTCCCTGGATGGGGAGCTGTGGATTGCTTCATAGTGCTGAGACTTTAACCTCTTGTGCCACCAGGGAGGCCCTATTTTATCTTTATTTTTACCTTTACTGCCAGTGTGAAGCAGTGAGGAATACAATGACATATTAGTATAGTTTGGTATCAGTACTTTGATTCATGTTAAAGCACCAACAGTTTTAATCACCACTGATTTTGTACTAGCAGTGTACATATCAAATACAATGAATGAGCTAGTATTGTTTTAGTATTATGAAAAGAATTGCCTGACAGTTCTCCCAAAAAGATCTTAAGGGGTCCATGGAGCATACTTTATGAACTGTCACCATGTGGGTTACTTCCTTCTGGCTTCCACTGCCTCTGCTACTTCTATTGAGCACAACATAGGATTGTCATCTACATTTTATGTCTTTTCTATCACACTGGAAACCCTCTGAGGGCCTGTATCTTTGCCTACCAGGTACATAAAGTTCCAGGACGGGAACTGGAACATGTTAAATACATAATATTGGGTGAATTACGAATTTCTTGTATATTTTCTTTTGATCTCTTATTTGGTGGTGGGAGACTGGGCCTCGGGCCTTGGTCACTAACGACAAGCTCTTCTCCAGAATGTTCCTTCTCACTAAGTCAATTCATATTATTATCCCTTATGCCTACCCACATGTTTATTATTTATTTTTAAGTTTTAATTGCACAGGAAGTTCTTAATAACTGCTTATTGAACATAGGCTAGTTCCTATAATGTTTATATCTTGCTCATATTTCCTCCTTAAGGCATATTAGTGTGTATGTGTTTATATGGGGTGGGGAATAGTTTAAGAAGGGCAAGCTCTAAAGTTCTCTTTTTACTGTGGGAGACAAAAGAAACCTTTCAAAAGTTGAACCTTGCCAGGGTGTGCAAGACATCTCTCTGGGAATTTGCTGGCCACATCACAATATTCATCCTACTTCTTTTGGCTCTAGACTTGTCAGTGGGGTGGAGAATTATTATTTTTACAGTGCTGAGTGAAAGATAAAAATTAAAAGAGAAACCCTACTTTGGCAAGTAATTGCAGGTCCTAGATATATTATGTTTTATTTTTATACATAAACTGAACAGTTGCCTAATAGATTCATTATAAGTTAGAGAGTAAACAATGCTACAGTGTTTCTATAAAGAGCTTTAGAGAGAAACTTCATTAAGACTTCAATATTTCCTTTTATGCACAGAGAATTTTCATTGTTGGTGATTTTTTTTTTTTAAAGATTTGTTTTTATTTATTTATGCATACAAGAACTGGGGGTGAGAGGATTCACCAGAGACAGAGTGGGAAGCAGAACAGGCAGATTTACTGAAATACACTGGTGAGGGGAGTAGTGGGCAAGACAGGAGAGGTCTGCTGCACCATGTTTGTTAGCTCCCTGGCCTAGATCAGCTTAGGCTGTCACGGTGATAACTAGCCCTGAGTCTTAACCCTTAGGCCACCAGGGAGGCCTAAACCATGTGACATTTAAATAAAAGAATTGAGAGACATTGGTTTAAACAATGAAAATACAACAAAAAGAAGTGAAAAGTGATAATGGTGGATGTGAAATTCAAATTGAACATAAAGGAAGTTATAGTAGAAATAGCTGATTGTGGGGTTGCTGACACTGCTATCAGGAGAATGTATAGGTACGCAGTCAGTGGAATTTAGGGAAGGAATATGGTTTTGACAAAAAGATAAAGATTCATCATTGTTCTAGGGTTTTCATGGGGATTTACTACTTCATAAAGTTGTTGAGAAGATGATACAAGATAACAAATGAACAGTACTTATCACAGTGCCGTGCTGTGCTCTGCAGAGATTGTTACCAATAAATAAGAAAAATCAAATGAAACCAATAGAAAAACGGAGGAAAGTACATAAAGGACAGTTAATTAAAAAGATATACAATTGGGCCTCCCCTGGTGGCCAGGCAGTTGAGTGCAGCGCTGTGAAGCTGTCGGCAGCCTCTGCAGCACTGGTTCCATCCCTGGCAGCCAGTGAGGGTCCCACTTGGTGGAGCAGACCTCTCCTGTCTCGCCTGCTACTCCCCTCAGCAGTGTATTTCAGTCAGTCTGCTTATTCTGTTCCCCGCTCTGTCCCTGGTGAATCCTCTCACCCTCCCACGCATCTGGCCTGTACCCCAGTTCTTGTATAAAAATAAATAAATCTTAAAAAAAAAAGAAATACAATTACTCACTATAGTAAACAATCAAAGCAATGTAAATTAAAATAACCATGCCATTTTCAGCACATCAAATTGTCAAAAAATACTTTTAAGTGTTAATACCCAAGATTAGTAAGAGTTTAGAAAATAGACCAAAAAAGAGTGAAAATTGATATGTCATACCAGATAGCAATTTGGCAGTTTGAAAGATGCAATTTTAGGAAGTTATTCTAGAGGAATAAACAGGCATACAAGGATCTCTACGTGAGTATGTTTATTGCATTGTAGAAAATTTGTAAATAACTTCATTGTCCATCTCTAGAGGGTGTTAAATGAATAAAAAGTTATGAATATTCCTTACAATGTGGTACATGCAAGTAGTAAACATAATGGTTAAAATGAGTATCCCCCTTGTTCCAGTAACTATCATTTCCTGCTTGGGTTACTCCCTGCCTTCAGCCGCTCCCTCAAAATTCATTCTCTACACAGCTGCCAGAGACAAATCTAATCACTTCATTCTCTTGTTTAACACCTTCAGGGTTGCTCAATGCAAAAATCCTAAGATAGGCCTCTACAGCTGGAGCCTCTCTCTCTCTCTCTCTGTCTGTCTCTCTCTCTCTCTCACTACACACACACATACACTTCTCTTTTGGCCTTTGCACCTCATCATTCTCCCTAAGGATTTAGCATTCCATTGGTTAGAATCATCCTGTAACACCACTCTCCACTTCCTTAGAACTCTTAAAAATATGCCATTAAATGCTGTTTATGCGATTGTTTAATAGCTATCTCCCATTAGAGTATAAATCCTCAGAGGACAGTATCAGTTTAGCCAGTTTTATTCATTGTGCCTATTATGGTGCCTGACATCGGTGCTTGAGACATATTGTTCACTGAATAAATGAATAAATGAATGATTAAATGAAAGCTAGCTACAAAACATACAGTATGAACCTAATTTAGTGGAAGAGAGACTAAAGATCATGCAGGCCGCACAGAAGCAGAGTACCTCTTGCAGGTCCTTGCTGTCTAGGTCCTTCTCTCGAGATGGGGAAGTTGCACCTAGGATGGCAGGACAAGAGCAGATTTCTGGGAAGAACGGAGATGGTAGGAGTGACTTCTGTCCTTTCAGCTCCTTGGGCCAGAAAGGGCTGCAGGCCCATGTGAGATGTCTTCCACGGACCACCCACGGCGCAGGGATGGGGAGCCAGAGAGGTTCAGCTGCGGAGATGAACTCAGGAGCTACGCCTCCGGGAGCGCAGCCAGGAGGCGCACAGCGCCACCTGGAGGAAGCGGTTTCCCAGCAGTGTCAGGGCGCGCCCTAGCGGACTGCGCGGGGAAGGCATGGGAGAGTGTTCGCCGTGTTTTCCAGGTGAATTGAAACAGTGCTTGAGGGTGACTGCGTTCACACCAGGTCTCATGGAGAGGGGCTGGGGCTACTTGTTCTTAAAGATTGCACCTTGGCCGTGTGACAATTTGGAGGCAGTGTGGGAGTTGAGTGGCAGCAGTGCTGCTCCCCCTCTTATGTCAAAATTCTGACACTTGTTCATCAGTCATTTTTTTTCTTTTTTAAAAAAATATATATGTATATTTTAAAGAATTATTTAATTACGCATTCAAGAACTGGGGTACAGGCCAGAGGTGTAGGGATGAGAGGATTCACCAGAGACAGAGTGGGGAACAGACAAGGCAGATTGACTGAAATACACTACTGAGGGGAGCAGAGGATGAGACAGGAGAGGTCTGCTGCACCATGTAGGCCAGCTCCCTGGCTGGGGATCGAACTCCTGCAGTGGCTGCCGATAGCTTCATAGTGCTGAGACTTAACTCCTTGTGCCACCAGGGAGGCCCATCATCGGTCATTTCAAGGTTTTTTTCCTCTAAAATGTGAAGTTATTGCACCTACTTGGCTCCAAAAGGTGGACTCCCATTCTCCAGATCACCACACCTCTCCCAGAAGATACCAGGTAATATTTCTCCCTGCTCTTCTATATAATGGGGTCCTTATTTCTCACTCAGCTCCACATTTAATGTTTGTAACTGAGAAGCCACTCTTACTTGACCCACATCTACTTGACTCCCAGCAGGGACCTGAAGTCCTAGAAGTTACAGAAGGAAGCTGGAAGATTCTTGCAGGACAGCGCAAGCCCAATAAACACACTCTAAATGAATGAATTCTTCCATTTATTCAATTTTCCCATGTGCAAGACCATTTCTGATGGAGTGTCATGGAGGCCGTTAAGGGAGGGAGGACTAGGGCAGAGATGTGCTTAAGGAAAGTTTAAATTCTAGACTTTATTTTAGAGTTGAATAAATGGGAGCTATTTAAGATTTCAGGTAATTAGCCTTAAAATGCAAATTCCTGGAGTGGAATGGTAGATGGGGAGTCAGTATGGGTTGGTGGTCGTAGTAAGATTTAATGTTGAGTAGTTGTAGGTTCTAAGCCAGGGAAGGTGGTGCCACTTTGAGACTGGGTTGGAGAAAGAAAGCTCACATCTTGCGTTTGGAGAGAGAGGAGGAAAATACTATATGTGAAGAAGGGAGTTCTCAGCTGTTGCATTGCCCTTGGGGTAGGTGACTTCCTATTCATCTCTGGTTCCTTCTTTGGGGAGGAGCCTCCACTACCCTCCAAAGTTTTTAGTTTTGAGTCCAGGCAGAAGCCAGAAAAAAACAAGCAGAAAAAAGGAGGAGCTGGAAAAAATTGAAGCCAAGTCTATGGGCTGGGGAGCTAGGAGGCCCCCTTCAAGTTAGCTCAGGACTGCCAGCTAGCGCTGGATTTGTGGAAAATTCCCTCTCACAGAGGTTTAAATAACTCAGAAAGCAATCTCCAGCACTAGTAGCACTGTGGGCGCAGGGCTGGACCTGGGTCTACCCGCCGCCCCTAATCCAAATACACACGGGGGCAGTGCACACTGGCTTTCTCTGCTCAGGGAAGCTTAGGTTGGAAGTGCAGACCCCTGCTGGTCCAGGAAGAGTGTCTTTGCTCTGGCAAGGTCAGGTGAACTCATGCAGGCATGGTCCTCTGGCCTGTGGCTGCCCGCTAGCACCACCTCAGTCCTCCCAAGGGCTCATGTCGGTGTCGATGGCCACACAGTTGTATGCCGCATAGCGGAGCTTTTCCTCACACACCTTGGCACTGTGGGGGGGATGGAGACTGGGTCAGTGCTCAATGCCAGGCACCTCTGTCACTACTAGGGCAAATGCAGCTCCATTTTGTCCACTTTAGTACCTGAAGTCCCACTCACCTGGGATGCCACTCCCCCTCCACTCCCCACGCTCTAGGCTCGAGTCTAGGAAACGTACCTGGCATAGTGTGGTAGGAAGAGGGTACTGGAGCAGGTGGAAGACTCAGGCAGCGCATCTGTGGTCTCGTAGCTGGGGGTGTGAAAGGACCAGAGTTCAGGAGGAAGTGTAGGGACACAGGGCCAGGGTCTATGTGAGGAGAGGACAGAAGGCCAGCCACAGCCCCTTGGGGTCTTCCCTCCCCACTCACCCCAGCTTGTCAGGGTAGATGTAGATCCGTGCTGGCAGACGACTGCGGCCTGTGACAAAGCGCAGGAAGCGGCTCCGGTCCTCTGGATGGAGAAGGAAATCAGTGCCTGCGCTGATGGTGAGAAGATTCTACAAAGTCCACCCTGCCTCTGTATCCCACAAGTGGAGTCGGAACCCGGGCATCACTCTGCTCTTTTCCACTGACCGTTGGTGAAGTTGCTTAGCGCCTCCCAGAAATACCGCACCCGTATATCAGTTTGCTCAAAGTCTTCAAACCGGGCTGGTGGAGAAGAGGCCAGAAATCATTCCTAGCACCCACCCTAGGAAGCCTCACCCCCACCCCGCACCGCCTGCCCCACTCACTGAGTTTACGCAGAGCGTCCACAGTGACCTCTGGGTCCCCGCACACCTTCTTCTCCAGTTCTTGCCAGGTCAGCAAATCCAGCACAGCCTGTGGTACCACCTTCAGCAGACCCGCCTGCATGGCTGCCACCTGGGAAGGGGAAAGGCCTGGCTGGGCAAGAGGGTATAACTCCCAGTTCATTATGTGGTGGGGGCACTTGGTCTCTACTCAGAGATTAGTAAGGAACATGGTATTTGCTCATCCCTGGGGCATCTCTGTGCCCCACTGATGAGGAGGAATGGGGGGCAAAAAAATGGTAGGTGCCTGAGTTCTGAGACTGGGTATTGGTGGTCTCTCAGCCTGGGCTCTGGATATTAGGGGTTGCCCAAAGTTTTTATTCTCATGGCTGTGGGTAGTACCTGCTCCTTGCTCTCTTCTAGCCGTGCCTTCTGTACTAGCTGGATGAAACGCAAACGGTCCTCATATCCCACCACGATGCCTGCGCCCCCAGGGATCAGCTCCACCATCTGGTGGTCACTCAGTACAGTGGTGAATGTCAACTCCTTCCCAAATTTGAACTCAAATGTCTCCTTGTCCATTCCTTCCATCACTTCCAGGAGCTTCACCTAGGGGTTGGAGAGAAGAGAGGTCAGCTTTTCATTGTGGAATCCTTATTTTTCCTTGAGATGCTTATAGGGAAGTAGGAAAGACACCAGGCAAGGCCGTCCTCATGCAGGCAATGAGGACAGAGAGGGGCAGTCGGCCCCTACTTGGCCCTGAAGGCCAGGGAAGTCATCTTGGAAGAAACAGCATCTAAGCTGAGATCTGAGTGATGACTGGGAGTCAGATCAGCCACAAGTGAAATCATAGAGAAAACATACTGGAAGAAGGTGGAAAGTAAAAGGCCTAAGGAATCTGACTGCAGCCTGAAGGTGAACCAAGTGGCTAGAAATATAGGGGTCATGTAAGGCCTTTCTGCATTTTATCCTAAGTCTAAGGTGAAGCCACTAAAGGGTTTAAATGAGAGGAGTATAATGAATTATTCTAGTTGCAGGAGATCAGGTGGGTAAAGGGACATTAACTTTTATAGTAAGTGGCTGAGTCAGAAAGGAAGGTGGCCTGAACCAGGGAGATAGGAGAAGTGAACAGATTCCAAAGAGACTTGACAAAATATGGGAGGTGAGGGAGTAGAAGGAATGCAGGATTACTGAGTGCATTGGCATGGGGAAGTATGGGTGGTAATGTCATTCCGAGATAAGGATTGCTGGAGGGCAATAGACTGTGTCAAAGACAAAGAGTGTGCTGAGCCCGAAGTGCCATCTTGGGACAGATGTCCAGTCAGCAGATGCATATATGGCCCCAGGTTTAAAAGACAGGCTGGGGCTCGAGGTAAGGACTTAGAGGGTCACTGGTTGAAGCCAAGGGAGTAGGTGAGTCTTGGGGAACAGCAACCTTCTTCCAATGAGCAGAGAACATATTGGATCCAGGCTCTACTCACCAGCACAGAGTCCACAGCTGGGAAGTCCTTGCTCCAGCTCACCTCCTCACCAGAGAGCTGCTTCCACACAAAACCAGGCAGAGCCAAGACCTGTAGGACAAGGACTCACTGCTGTCTCCTCACCCTGAGCTCCCAAGCGTGGCTGGTCCTCTTCATTCCAAGGGCCAGGGCTGATCTGGTGGGAGTGCTGATTAGGCTACTCACCAGGAACTCCTTACCCCGAAGGGCAGCGCCCATCAGTTGTCCAATCCACTCATACTTAGCAAAATCTCGGCAGGATGGGTTGGGGACATACATGTCCCGGGCCTCACCAGTGCCATTGCCCTGCCCCAAGACAGAGCTGTCAGTATGGTATCAGATGGACCCTACTGTGCTGCCCCAAGTTCCCTAGAGACTTCCCTGGGGTCCTCCCTGGTGGCCTAGGGGTTAAATCTCAGCACCATCACCGCTATGGCTTGCAGACCTCTCCTGCCTCACCCGCTGCTCCCCTCCGCAGTGTATTTCAGTAAATCTACCTGTTCTGCTCCCTACGCTGTCTCTGATGAATCCTTTCATCCCCCACACCTCTGGCCTATACCCCAGTTCTTCTACGCACAAATAAATAAACCCTTAAAAAAAAAGACTTCCTTGAATACTTTTCATTGGAGGCCCTGAATGATCTGCCTGTATAATGGCTGCTACTTCCCTGTCTGCCTAGAGGCTGACTCAGGCTATTCGGTTCTTTCTCTGCCCCCTCTCTAGCTCAGCCTTGGTGCCTAGGAGCTTTGTAGAGAGAGAAGAGCAGAAACATCTTGGAGAGTGGGGGTGGGAAATTACCTGGTTAGCTGTGCGCACAAAGAAGGGCAGAGGCACAGGGGTGTCTGCCGAGCTGGGGCACAGCTCCTCTGACATGTCTGACAGGCTATCCCGGAAACCACCCCCTGAAATGCCAGACAGGTGCCCTTAGCTGGGGCATTCAAGAGTGCATGTGGATTAATAAGCAGGTCTCCTATCTTGGTTAGCTGGTGACCCCACAAGGCTCTACCACTCTGAATTGGGCAGGACCCTTGTAATCCTCCCTCTGGGCCTCACCTTGGTCAATGATTCCTTCTGCGATGAATTTACACTCCCACCACTGATCATAGCGCATGGGCCACCTGTAAGAAGGGGTGGATCTGTCATGTTGCTGGGCCAGCACTTGGGACAATTCAGCAGTCCAGTGACCAGCCAGAAATAGGGGTGACAGAAGGCTAATGGCAAAGGGTGTCAGAGGCAGTGTGTTGATTGGTGTGCACATGTGTGCCCCAAGCAAGTCCCTTACCCTCATGCCATACCTGTAGTCCAGGGGCTTTTCATACTTGTCAGAGGGCTTGAGACCTTCATAAACCTGGGGGCAAGGGACAGAGGAGGAACAGAGGAAAGTTGGTGTCAAGACCTGGCCCCACTATTGCCCAAAGACCTTGCTAGGCTTCCTCTGGTGAAGGCCCCTGTTCCCTTTACTAACTCTCCTTCAATTGAGCCCAGGTGGTCCAGACCTGGGTGAAGATTGCGTTCTTGCAGGCAGGGTCCTTTAAGGGGCAAGTTCTGTGTTCCATGGCAAGGCGCCGGTTGATGTACAGGAGTGGCCTAAAGGTAGGCTTGCTGCTCTCTGAGTCACGCAAGCACTGCATCACCAGGCCTGGTCGCTGGCGTGACAGCAGCAGGAACTGCTTCACTTGCTGGTGGGGAGAGGTGGTTTGAGCAGAACCAGAATGTAGTCAGCCTCTTTCCAGACCTTGGAACTTTTCTCTATACATGACCTGGTCCCACTGTTTCTGTCCAATTTATTCTGTTCCCCCCTCCTTGCTTCTAGTTCCTCCCTTCATCCAGTCATCAGGGGAAGCTTTCTAAAACAAAGAAAATCTTAAAATCTTTCTAATGGCTTCATTTGACTTGGGACAAAGTCTGTCCGGGCCCACAGTGCCCTCTGCTACCACAGCAGCTTCCTGCTTATTCATTCAAATGCCACTAGCTTCTTTCAAGTTATCTTTTGCTACCACTAACCCCCAGCATGTGCATTTTATGCAACTTGCTCTGTCCATGCTATCAACTCTCCTCCCTAGTTTCTATTTATTTCACACACCATTTGGAGAACAGTACTGTAAGAAACACTAAATTTTGACTATTTGTCCAGTTTTTAAGAACACTCTGCTGAAGATTGACAACTGCAAGAGCAGAAAGGGGGAACCCCCTGTAAAGACCAGCAATGGGTGGGCCAGGCTCACCTTAATCTCATTGAAGGTGCCCAGTGTGTGGTCCCAAGCAGGTACCAGGTGGTGCAGGACGCTGTCTAGAATCTTTATGAATCTGTGGGTGGAGTGGGGGTAAAGATGCTTGCATAAAGAGTTTGACATAAATATAAGACCCTCTTGCTCCCCAACACACAGGTACAGAAGGCAGGGTCCAGGGGCTGCTCTGACCCTTGGAATGGAGCACCTTGCTCTTTAAGATCTTGGGGATCTCCTCTACACAAAGACACACAAGGCTCAGATGGGGAAAGGGGAAAGGGCTGGCAGGCCCCGGATCACAGCCACCTCTGCAGGAGAACAGCTCTGCGGTACAGTACTTCGGGGTCAGTGCCTTCCAGGCGTGGGTATCGCACCAGGCTGGTTGGCTGAAACAAGTCTGCATTCAATCCCAGTTCCCGCGCTCTAGATGACTTGATTTTGACGCCTCGAAGACGCACATCAATCCCATCATCTGGGGGAAGGAATCAGAGTCAGGTCTCTTACTGCATCTGCAGCCTCCATGGCCCTCAGACCTGAGAATGGTTTCTTTTTTCTTTTTTTAAAGATTTATTTTTATTTATTTATACAAGCACTGGGTACAGTCAGAAGCACGGGAGAGTGAGAGAATTCACCAGAGCCAGAGCAGGGAACAGAACAGGCAGAAGGACCGAAGTACACTGCTGAGGGGAGCAGCGGGCGGCAGGAGAGGTCTGCGCGCCATGTGGGACCCTCCTCCGGTGGCCGGGGAGCAGCCGGGGATTGAACCGGCGCTGCAGAGGCTGCGGGCAGCTTCGCAACCCAGCGCTCAACCGCTGCACCACCGGGGAGGCCCCCTGAGAATGGTTTCTTAATGCTCGGTTTTTTGTCACCCTCTGCCTCAAGAAACTTGGGAGCACCACGATCCTTTCCACTCACCTAATTCTGAAGATTATATTCCTTGCTGTTCTCCTGTCCACCACTATAATTTTGGGATGCCTGAGGATGCAGTCCTCTTCCAAGTGAGCCCAACTACCTCTATAACTTTAAGACAGGCCTATACTAGGCACCTTCACAAGGCTCAGTCCCAAAGCTTCAAATCCTGGAGCTACTGCCTTCGCCTCGCCTGCAAGCCCATCTCCTTCGCACCACACTCACTGCCAGCTAGCTCCTATATCTACTGTGGCTCCCCTTCCCTCCTGATAGCCTTAAGCCCTACCTCGGCACTCCACGATGCGGATCTCGATGATTGGCAGGTGGACCGTCATGTCGTCTAGGACACAGACATCCCCGATCAGCGTCCTGAGGAGATGGATGTGAGGCACTTTGGGTCCCCTGACTTCAGGGATTGCTGGGATCTCACCCAACCTATGCTTCCAAGCTGGGCCAGGCCCCATTGCTAGGATCATGCCCCACCTCCCACCTCAGGTCAGCCTGCTCACTCGTCAATGCTCACGTCACTCAGCTTCTTCAGATTGTCCCCTTCACCCCCATAGACCACCACTCGCTTAGGCATAAAGTTGTCATCTGTGGTATCCACCGTGAGTAGTAGCTTCCTGGGGGGCAGCGGAGTATGTACATGGTTCTCTGTGCAACCATAGGCACGCGGCTCACCCACCCTGTCCAACTCAAGTCCACTCACTTGACAATGGTGCCCTTCTTCATGGTAAGCCGTACCCAGTGCTGGCACTGGGATCCATCGCTCTCCCAGTAGGTGTCTGCATTGCTATCTGTCAAGCAGGACACATTGAACTCCTCCTGGGGAGGAGCAGGGAGGTGGAGTCAGCATTTACCCCACTCCTTGCACTCGGCTGTGCATTGGGTTAGGGAGCACAAGAAAGAAAGCATAGTTAAGCTGATTAAAGGGCAACTGTTATGAAGGGAGGTGTCAAGGGAATCCTACAGGACATCCAAGGAGCTGGACTGAGTCTGGCTGTAGGGATTCAGGTTTGATCTTGGCCTAGGGGTAAGGCTTCTAGATCTGGCCTGAACGTGACCACACTTTAGACGGAGTCCCAGCACCTACCGTATATGAGGAAACATCTATGCTCTCCACATACTGCTTCACACTACCCAGGTTCTCATCCTCCCTGCCCACGTGGTCGTACAAGAAGTGGATCAGGTCTTCGTCGCACTCGTAGGTCCATGTCGGAGGCACATAGCTAAACAAGCCCAAATTCCTAATCAGGTAGAGCCCAGACCTGAGGGTCTTTCGCCTCATTCCATTCCAGCTTACTCACAGTAGCCTTTGGACAGCTTCCGTGTACGCCGCTGCTGGCTGAGGCTTCGACCCGAGGCGATGCGAGTATGTCAGGTCCACCACCTGCTCCCATCTGCGGGCACAGGGTGGAGGTGTGGGGTGGACACGGGAAACACCACCGGGCATCCCTTACATGCCCTGGGGCCCTCTCCAGAGCTCCTGCTCCTCCAAAGTACGCCCTCAGAAGCCACACCCCAGCTGCCTTCAGGTCCTGACCCTTTTCTTAACCCTGCCTCCCTTCCAATATCACATTTCCCTGCCAGACTAGTTGCCAACCCCTCCGGCCCACCACTGACACTATTCCCCGCCCCTTCCAGCGCAGGACCTGAGCACCCTGCGGTAGTCCACGCCGAAGAGCTGCTGCTGCCGCTGGAGGTGGTCCGGGGTGTCGATGGGCACGAGGCGGGCCCCGCCCTCGGCCGGGCGGCACACCAGCAGCCAGCCCTCGTCCAGCCCGCAGTCGCCCAGGTGTTCGGCCAGCTGCTCCTACCGGGATGCGTGGGGCCGGACGGCGTCAGGAAACAGCCCAGGGGCCCGCCCTGCCCTGCCCTGCCCAGCCCAGCCCAGGGCAAAGGGCACGAACGCTATGCCAGCTAAATGTGGGGGAGGGGAGGGGACCAGCCGGGGCGTCCCTGGCCGGGGAGTCTTTCGCGGAGCTCGCGACAGGCCCAGGCTCACCTTGGTCAGTTTCACCCAGAGCCCGTGTCCGTTGCACAGCTCCTCGCCCGTGGTGCGCACGCAGGCCCCGCGCCGGAGCTCGATGCTGTCGCGGGCCGCGCGGAGGGGCCCGTAGCCGGTACCGGCGGCCGGCCCGGTGGCACCCACACGCAGCCCCAGGCCCTCCGCTTCCCACACCGGGAGCAGCACGCGCGACGGGCCCGCCGGGTCCTTGTAAAGCTTGTAGAGCACTTCGCGCGGGACGAAAGCCAGCGCCGCCGGCAGCGGCCTCCCGGTGCGGAGACTCTGCGCCGCCTCCACCAGCAGGCGTACGCGGCCCAGCAGCAGCCGCGGGGACTCCAGCGCCGCGCCCCGGCCCGGGCCCGCCATGGCGAAGCGGCCGAGGGCAGCTCGGGGGCGATCGGGTTTCTGGAACTGCAGCCGCGGAGGCTGACCGGGCTTCCCACTACTCTCTCGCCCCGCCTTCTGCCAGCCTCGGCCGTAGGTTCTGGACTACGAGCACCCTGCGCGCCCGCCCTACCGCCCTGCGTGTGCGCACATCAGCCTTCTAACCCTCCTCCGTGGCTCCCAGCCAGCCGATGAGACCCAGGTTTAGGAGCTCCTGCCAGATCGACCCCCACCTCTCCATTTCCATCGCTACCACCTTTTATCCCCACTGCTACTACCCTCATTCAAATAATAGACCTGTGTGCTAGATCATTTTTCTGGTTCTCCAGGCCCCACTGTTTTGTCTCCCCTCCCCTAAGGAGTCATACTACCACCAGAGGAATCTTTTAAAAATCTGCGGGACATCCTTTCTGGATCCTCATCCTAGCGGCTGTATGAACAAAATGTTTGGGAAAATAACTCTTTTCAAACTGCCCTGCCACTGACAGGAGTTTTCAATCATTCCGGCTTGATCCTCGTTGTTACTACGGATCCCAGGACGCTACTGATCCTTTCTCCCTTCTCCCTGTATCTCGTGGGAGGTGGGGGAGGCAGAAAATAGAAAAGAGGACTGGAGCTGTTGGAGTACAATTAAGGAGGAAAAGGAATCTCTGTTGTCCACCCTCCATTAAAAATAGAAGTTTTATTGAGATATAATTAATATACCATACAGTCCACCCATTTGAAGTATATGATTCATTTTTTTAATATATTACATTTAAAAAATTTGGTAAGATATGTATAACAAAATTCCCCATTTTAGTCATTTTAAGTGTACAATTACCTATTTTCAAAAGTTTTTAGTCACCGCAGACAGAAACTGTATCCAGTAAGCAATAACTCATTAAACCCTTTCCCAGACTCTGATAAACTCTAATTTACATTGTGTCTATGAATTTACCTATTCTAGATAGTTCATATAAGGGGAACCACAAATATTTGTCCTTTTGTGTCTGTCACTCAGGATAAAGTCACAAAACTGTTAATAGTATGTATCAGAACTTAATTTCTTTTAATAGCTGAAGAATATTTCATTGTATGTACACTCCATTCTTTTTTTCCATTGGTGTGTTCATGGACACTTGAGTGGAAACTGTTTTCAAATGGTTATCAAGAAAGAATAAATGACCCCATGTGATTTTGACAGTTTTCTACTTTTTTCTGTAGCAAGTTGGGAATTTCTTCCTTCCTTTCCTAGATATTTATATTTCATAGCCACTAACACCAGATAAATGAACAAATACACCTCACAGGGCTTGCATGACCTGGAATCTGTAGGCATCTCCAGCCTCATTAATTCCACCACATTGATCTTCTGGTTCCCATAACCGTCATGTGCTCTTCTGTGTCTTCTCTTGGCACACGCTGTTCTCTCTGCTTGGAAGACCCCACCATTTCCTCCAACTAAGCTAGGAGTCTTTGTTCTTGCTTCTAGCTTTTTCCTCTTAAAACATTTACTATTATGATTGCAGGTTCTGTTTCCTCATCAGTCTGTAGGGGTTCTTTCTTATAACTGTAAACTCTGCACCTAGCATAGCGCCTGGCTCTTAGTAATATAAATATTTACTGATTTTGGTGCCCTGTACAGCTTGACTTCATAATCCACGGTATGCCTGGCTGGGCCAGACATAACATTGGTAGCAGTGAAAGTGAGACTTGGGTCAAACCTTTGGGATACTCAGGCATTAAGAGGAAAGCAAATTCCTCAAGCCAAGGTAAGGTGTAGTTACAGCGTAATTCATGCCCGAGGCATTTGTGGCTGCGTAGCTACAGCGGACATTACGGTGAAGAGCGGTAGGAGGGTCCTACTGGCAGCACCCTGGGCAGCCTTGGAGCTGTCACTGAAGTCTGATCATGTGACTTTCAACGTGGCGACCGCTTAGGCTCTTTACAGGAAGGGGCGGAGCCTGGGCAGGGGCAGGCTCAGATTCCGGCTAAGTAGTGGCTGTATTCGCAGTTGCAAACAGCTTACCATGGAGACGAACGGTTTGGGGTGAGTTCTCTGCGGTGTGGCCAGCGGGGCTTGTGACTCGAGTCTTCCAACTCCGAAATCTGCCCCTGCACCTCCTTCCCCCACCCTGTAGAGTTCCGAACCCGAACCCCAGTCGCTGGAACCCGAACTCCTCCAACCTTGGGTTCCTGAGACCTTCATCCCAAGGACCGCCTGGCTAGATTGCACCCTAGCCCCCCGCCCCCTTCCTCCTACCTTCATTTATGATATGCCGCCGGGACTTTATAATCCTCAACTGGGATCCCTATTTCGGGACTGTCAACTCTGATCCCTCCTTGTGTACTCCCTTCCTCTTCCACCCTCCCAGTCTGGGTTGCCTCCAAGCTCTGGAGCAGCCAACTGGTACACCCTACTGGTTCCTGAGATTCTGGCCTTATAACCCTCAAACTTGCTGGGTTTTCATGAAAACCCCCTTCCCCCACCATTGAAGTGGGGTTCTCTAGGATTGTGTGTAGGGTAGAGGCCCCAGCGCTGGCCCTTCTGGTCTCCCTGATAAGCAAAGAGGTGCCAAAATGGGCGTGGAGCCACAGCTTGGAAACTGGCCTGGGGAAGGCAGATAGCGGTGCACGTCTGAATCTGCCTTAAGAACTCAGGCCTTCCCCAACCTCCAGCCTAGCTTACTGATACCTACCCCCTCTCCCCACCACTCCAGACCTCAGGGTTTTCCAGAGCTGAAGAATGACACATTCCTTCGAGCAGCCTGGGGAGAAGACACAGACTACACTCCCGTTTGGTGCATGCGGCAGGCAGGTCGCTACTTACCAGGTCAGGGTTTGGGCCTAGGGTTCTAGGTAAAATTCTGGAGGGTGAAAAGGCTTTGAAGGACGGGAGGGCTCTAGAGGTTCCTTAAGGCTGAGCCCTGCCTTCCTTTCTTCTGTCTACAGAGTTTAGGGAAACTCGGGCTGCTCAGGACTTTTTCAGCACCTGTCGCTCCCCAGAGGCCTGCTGTGAACTGACTCTGCAGGTGAGGGGTCCACAAGAGAGGAAGGGATTTGTGTCCTCAGCTGCCACCTAACAACTTGTCCTCTATTCCCTACAGCCACTGCGTCGTTTCCCTTTAGATGCTGCTATCATCTTCTCTGACATCCTTGTTGTACCCCAGGTACAAACCTAATTCAGAAATGGGTAAAAAAGGGAAAAGACAATCACAGCTCAAGATAAGCATTCACTGGATAGAGGGGAAAACTTAGGCTGGAAGAGATGGAGTTTTATTCTTCTTTCTTTCCTGCCATGGGATGAATACAGCCTATCTTCTTGGAGTTACGGATTGTGAACCCTGGTATTTTTTCCCCCTCTAGGCACTGGGCATGGAGGTGACCATGGTGCCTGGCAAAGGGCCCTGCTTCCCAGAGCCCTTAAGAGAAGAGCGGGACTTAGAGCGCCTTCGGGATCCAGCTACAGTGGCCTCTGAGCTGGACTATGTGTTCCAGGCCATCACCCTCACTCGAGAACGGCTGGCTGGACGTGTGCCACTGATCGGATTTGCTGGTGCCCCAGTAATAAGGGATAAGACAGGGGTTTGGGCATGGGGAAATCACCCTGACAGGTCTGGTGTGGACAAGTGGTCAGTCTGGCTTCTATGTCTGTGACATCTTCTTTGTATCCTTCTACAGTGGACTCTGATGACATACATGATTGAGGGTGGCAGCTCAAGCACCATGGCTCACGCCAAGCGCTGGCTTTACCAGAGACCACAGGCCAGTCACCAGCTGCTTAGTATCCTCACTGATGCTCTTGTCCCATATCTGGTGGGACAAGTGGCTGCTGGTGCCCAGGTCAGTCCCGAGGGAGAGACAAATAGGCTGGGGTTTAGTCTACAAGGACCGGAAGTAACAGAGTTCCATACATTTGTGAGGGTAGGCAGGTGCCTGCTGTGAACTGACTCTGCAGGTGAGGGGTCCACCTGCAGAAGGGTGATCTCCAATGATTTGGCTGGAGCAGCCAAGCCAAATATTGGCAGGGGGTGCTGACTGCTCCATGTATTTAAAGACCAAAGCTAGCACTGGGATCTGGAAAATCTTTTTTACTGGAACTGGGTTTATAGACTTAGGCATTATCAGGAATTGAAGTCACTTGAGGGAAAATTGAGGCACGTTCTGTGTCTAGAGCCTGAGAGTCTTCCCCTTCGTGTGTTATGTATTTTTTTTTCTTCACCACCTCTTGACTATAGGCATTGCAGCTCTTTGAATCCCATGCAGGACATCTTGGTCCACAGCTCTTCAATAAGTTTGCACTCCCCTACATCCATGATGTGGCCAAACGAGTGAAGGCCAATCTACAGAAGGCTGGCCTGGCACCAGTGCCCATGGTAAGGCTGGGGATGGGGTGAGTGAAGGTGGGCCTCTGGAGCTTTCAAGAGTAAGCCTACATGGACTGAAGTAACCGCTGGAGGGCAGCAGAAGTACAACAAAGGTTAATGGGCATAGCAAGGCCCTCTAGTAGCCTCAGAAACCTGCCCTTTCCCCTAGATCATCTTTGCTAAGGATGGACATTTTGCCCTGGAGGAGCTGGCTCAAGCTGGCTATGAGGTGGTTGGGCTCGACTGGACAGTGGCCCCAGAGAAAGCTCGGTGAGTCAGGGAGGGGTAGGCCCTTGAAGTTGAGGTGGAAGGGCCATATATGCAGTCATCAGAACGTGGCACTAACTGCTTCCAGGGAGCGTGTAGGGAAGACGGTGACCTTGCAAGGCAACCTGGACCCCTGTGCCCTGTATGCATCTGAGGTAACCACCACAATCCCTGTGTATGTCTGTGAGTTCATCCCTGTGCAGTCTCTGATGGCTGTGAGGGGCTGTCAGCTCAGCCTTGTATGTATTACTATGTGTGTGTTTTTATTAGTTGTGTATTACTGTGTGTGTGTTTTTATTATGTCCCTCCCTCCCCTCTACTCCATACACCCCATGTGGGCTCTTTGAAGGCAGGAATTTCTTTTTATTGTTGTTATTAATCATTGTTTTGTTGGTGCCTGGCTCATACTAGGCATCCAATACATTTTGTTGAATGACTGAATGAGTAATGCTGAGTTGAAGCATGCCTTCATGCATGTGTGTCACTACTGTGTGTAGGGAGGACAGAAGTTATGTTGGCTTTCCTATAGCTGGTGCCTTTTGGTCCCCCAGGAGGAGATTGGGCGGCTGGTGCAGCAGATGCTGGATGACTTTGGGCCACAGCGCTACATTGCCAACCTGGGCCATGGACTTTACCCTGACATGGACCCAGAACATGTGGGGGCCTTTGTGGATGCAGTGCACAAACACTCACGTCTGCTTCGACAGAACTGAGTGCCTTTCCCCTCAAATTCCACTAACACAGACGACTGATTGTTTCTAGGAGAATAAAAGTTCCAGATCTGGTGTCTAGCTTGTGGTTTTGTTTGTGAAAGATCTGTGTCCTTATCTTAAATCCTTTCTTAGCCTCTGCTCCTTTTTGCATCCTATCCTACAAGACATGGGAGCTCAGATGTCAGTGAATAGATACTGTAGGACCATTTTGCTCTCAGAGCTCTAATCCCTACAGCTATATGGGGATGGATAGAGCATTCTAGCAGTTGGAGCTGTGACATCTGCAGAGAAATGAGGTTCCCATAGCATGCAAGGCTGAGCTGTCAGGGCTTTGTGTCAGGGGATGTGGAGGAAAGTATAGATCAGAGAGTGGCACAGAAGCGGCTAGAGTACTTCAGAGAGACTGTTGAGAAAGATGGAGTCTAGATGAGCAGGGAGAAGCTGAGGCCTTCAGCTTTCACCCCAAAAGGTAGAGTGGATATAAAAACTCAGCTAAGTTGCTTAGGGTTAGAATCTTAGACTTTAATCACCAAGATGAGAAGCCTCTGAAGTTAAAAGGCCTATGACACTCAGAGTCTGCTTTACATTCTTTTCTGAGTAGATATTTAATTTTCCCAGAATCTTGGATTTCTTGCTGATCATGTTGGTACCTACTTCCTGGGAAAAGGTTCTGAGGTGCTGTGAGCTCTACAGAGGGGCCTAGTGAGGCAGAAAATTTCTCATTTGTCATTCAACATTTACTTAGACGACTAGGAACCCACTATGGTATAGGACTAACCAGTTCCCATCCCAGCTAGGGCAATGCGGAAGGGAGAGAAGGGGCCCATTTATTGAGAAAACACAATTTCTAACTTTTAGAAAAATGATCTTTTCTGTGATCCATGATTTATTCATAGAAAAGCACTGTGAGTTCACACACTTGCTAAAAAACGGCAATTGTGATACAGAAATGGGAGTGGCTTCTCTTTTTTTAAACCATACTATTGGGCTGAGATATTGCAGGGGCCCAGACGTTGTAGGGGCTGGACAATAAGACTTCAGTAGCCACAAACAGCAAATACAACTTAGTGATTAGTGTGGAAGAAAAAAAGAAGTGACAGTTTGTCAAAGAAAGGAAAATAAAGCAGACAGAGAAGTCCTTAGTTCACACTCTAGCTATACCACCCCTGCCCTATCACACTTCATCCCCTACTTGGGAACTAAAACATGGAACAGTAAAACACCAAGACACTGGCATCCAAATGACTCTTCTGAATGCACTTGCTACCTTCTATAACAATTCCAGGCTGAGCATGATGGGTCAGGAAGGTAGCAGGAACATGACACACTGTGAAGGTCAGCCAGGACTAAGATTGGTTGCCACCAGGGCTAGAAACTAGTCAGAAAGGGAAAGGCCAAATGCATTCCAGCCCCAGCCTCCAAATCAGTGACCAATGGGGCTGTGACAAAGCAGGCAGAGGAAGCTTGAGGTAGAAAGGCAGGGGAAGAAAGCAAGTACAAGAAGAGAACCATGGAGCTGAAGTAGTCACTCTTAGGGTAGAGGAGACCAGTGTTGAGAAGTCTGTTTGGTGAGAATGGTGAATAAAGGAGGCAGAGATATGTGGAACATACTTAGCTGGTGAGAGACGACGGAATGAGGAAAAGAGCTCTGGTAAAAAAGAGAAGGTATGCATTCATGCAGATCCTCATATGAATCCACACACATACCTACATGTTGAAATGCACAGTTAAAAAGAAATGTCAACAGAAAGCAGGCATATACACAGAATGCATGTTTACATACATGCACCTGTGTGTGCCCAGATATACATACTCTAAGCATTCACTGATGAGCCGTGATGAGCACAGACACACATATGTATTCTTATGTTCCCAAATATGTATTCCCTCACATGGAAACCCACAGTTCAGCAGATGGGTATTCATATAGACATAGACCTCACAGATACATACAAATGTTTATGCACAGACAGGCATGTACAGATGTATCTGTGTACACAGACACATGTACTTAGCCGTACAGATACATATACACGCAAATACAATGAAATGAAACCAGACACTCTAACACAAAGGTGATCAGTGTATATGTATATGAACTCTGTGACCTCCCAGACTTTCACTTTCTCCTTACACTTGTTTCTTGGGAGCTCAGCAGCCTCTGAGAGAGGCTGTGACGCAGAAGCAAGAACTTGTGTCCTCATAGCTTTGTGAAGCAAAAGTCTAAGTCCAGTGCCGGCGTCTGCCTTCACCCACCATGGGGCTACAGATACCCCATCTGTAGGCTGGGCTTTCTGCATAGACTAGACTTGTGATTTATGCAAACTGGCCTTTTTCCTCCCTGTCATCCCCACTCTTCCACTGCCAACAGCATATACTCTGCAAGGGAAACCTGAGAAATGGTTGTGAGTCTCCTCAGAAAACAAGCCTATCTTCCCACCCACAGCTACTTCAAGTACCCATCAAATTAGAACCAGAATTATAAATAGTTACAACTTTACAATGTAATTGGCAACACAGCTACTATATTATTTACAGCATTATAAATGTTTCTGTTTCTCTGGTTAAGCAATCCCTGAGAAGGAACAACGTTCTGTGTTTGCCAAGGGAGAGAGGGCCAATGCCCAGGACACGCAGGATATAGGGGCGTGAGGTGGCATGTTGTGGGGTTTCTGATCAATCTGCAGGGCCCAGCTCCTCTAGGAACAGTAGGCTTTAATAAGAACCTGGCCAAGGCAGGCATATTGGCTAGAGTTGGACTCTCCCCTTGTTTAGCCCTGTGGTCCTTTGGTTTTGGCCACAGGTGCTCAGAGTGCTCTCAGGGTGGACAAATGTTTCAGTGTCCTTGGCCTGACCTGATGGTATCTGGAAGCCCTGGCTGCCCCAGCAGTGAGCTGTCTGCTTTCTCAGCCAAAGCGCTCTCGCACCAGCAACATCAGCTTTTTCTTGCCTTTGTAGATTTGTTTGAGGTTGTCAATGAATTGAGCAAACTGCAGGTGGCCATCCTGGGGCAGCAGGAAGGTCTCCCGAGCCTTGCTCAGAAACTCAATGAACTCTCCATAGTGGCGAGGGCTGATGTGTGTCAGGCGTGAGTGTGTAGTGTTGATGTAGGCATTGATGGTTGCATCCAACAGCTGGCGCAGTGGAGCTTTGTCGGTGGACATGAGCTTCCCAGAGCTACGTCGGCCTGGGATGCCAGCCAGGCCAGGTGCAGTCACAGTGCAGCGCCGTAGGATGTCTGAAAGCACTGTGGCACAGTGCACACTCTTCACCACCAGGGGAATAAGGGCTGCCAGCTCATTCTTGCCCAGAGAGTGGCTGAGGGCACATGCCCAGAGCACATCATTGATGGCAGGGTGGGTGTCCTGGTTGTAGGCCAGGTTGAGATGGCTCATGGCCAGTGAGGCCAGCTTGAAGGCACGTAGCGGGTAGCCACGGAGCTCCATGTAGCGGGCGATGGTGAACAGCTGTGAGTGGGTCATGCCTCCAGCGGCAGCATCAATGGCTATCTGATAGGCTGCCTCAAAGGCAATGTGGTCTTTCTCACAGAGCGTCAGGGCTGACAGGGCACAGCTCTGTGGATCCTTCATAGCACACTGCAGAGCCAGGGTGCGAGCACAGCTAGCCAGCTCCTCCCTCTGTGGATAGTCAAGACTGAGGCGCAGGATAGTGGTGTGGGATACGGCTGTGGCAGCCACAATGCTGGTGGCCTCTGTAGGGGTGAAGAGTGTGTACCAGCTCTGCAAGATGCTCACCAGTGCACGCACACCTGTCAGGGAGAGCTTGAACTCAGTTGTGATGGTCTGGGTTCCAATCCTGATCTTCCCAGATTACCATTTGGGGACAGAACTTGATCTATAGAGATGAGTTCTCCCTCCTCAGGAGCCTTGAGTTGATCAGAGGCAAACCAGGGCAAAGGGAGCATCCCAGAAGGTCAGACCCTCTGTGGGGTCTCCCCAGCCCTCCTTTCCCCAGGTCAGAGGGTTGAAGGACTCTACAGGTACCCAGCAGAGCCTGTAGTTTGCCTGCCCCAAAGCAGGGTTGCAGATCTGCCTGGGGGTTCTAGACTCAGGAAAGTGTCTGGGATCTCAGTGGGGTTCTGAGTTTCCAAGTTTGTTTGGGGTTTCCCAAAGCATGAATAGGAATTGGGATGAAACCACTGGGCCAACTACCTCCCAAGGGAACATTTGAGGATTTGGTAGCTGAAATATTCTTATATACATGTCTCTGATCAGAGTCAAAGTACTGCTATCATCAGGTGATGGTCCAAGCAGTGAGTGTGGAACTTGGGATGGCTGAGCAGAGGCCCTACCAGCAGCCCTATCATCTTTTAGGCTGTCAGTAATAGGAATATGAGAGCTCTAAGGAGTCACTGTCCTGTCCTAAGAGTAGGACTGCAAACTCCTTTCCCCTTGGGGCAGGGGGAGGTGGCAGACTCACCCACTTCTGTAGCACATGTCACCAACCACCGCACCATCTCCCGGCGCCTCCAGTTAAGGGTTGATAAGGTCATCCTCATCACCTAGGCAAAAAAAGAGGCATTCCCAATGGGTTAAGTATAACTGTTAAGACCTCCCTCTCCCCATTCCCTTTGCCACTCATTTATGCAACAAGTAGTTATTGTTTGTTTACATAGCCATTTCTCCTCTGTTAAATACAGAGTAGTTTGTTTAACTTCTCCTCCACCCCTCTCACCAATCAGAGAGGCTTCTTTGATGACCTGTAATAAATGAAATCCTTAGTACCACACCTTATTTACCTGGAGGAATGAGGGTGGGGTGGGGAAAAAAAGGGGACACATGGAACCGAAGGCTGCACATTGCTTCTGGTTTTAACTTCAAAACAGAGCCCAATTTATAGAGTTCTTACCTTGTGCTTAGCCAAGAATTTGTGTTCTGGGAACATAGAAAGAACCAGACTCTGCTCGTGCCCAGTCTCCTTGGTATCTTATATCAACTGTCACTAGGCCATAAGCCTACCTGTAACCCCATCTCTTCCTCCATACCTGTAATCCTAGCTCCAGTGCCACGTTGAGTAGGGTGCTGTCAGTACTACTGTCTGTGGGAG